TATTATTATTATTATTATTATTATTATTATTATTATTATTAATATTATTATTATTTATTTTATTTTATTTTTATTTTTATTTTTTATTTTTATTTTTTTTTCATTTCATTGACATTTCATCAGACTAAAATGCACTGATTAAAATGATTCAAAGAAAGCCTAGGTTTTCAATAAAACGAGAAAGAGAGACAGCCTTAAATTTCACATGGATATCATATCATTATGATATATTATATAGAATAATACAAAAACTCTATATATGAGAATATCTGAGCTTTATAGCATAGTATACAGATACATGTATATATAGATTATATGGTCGCATTGCATATATACACCTTGGGGTATGCTTTTATTGATATTAGCAGCAGCATATTTTTTATGCAGCATTGGGGAATACGTAATGTGCATATATACTGGCATATGGATGGATGTATATATGTCACGCAGCATATGGCAGAGTGAGGATGTATTTGCTTTTATGGCAAGTAGTATAACGTTGCAAAAGCATTTTTTTTTTATGGAACTGTTGGGGAATCTTTTATATTTATCACTAGATAGATATATGTATGTATATGTATATGTATATATAGGTATGTATGTCGTTTAGATAGATTGCTTGACTCACTTTTGCATTCGTTGGCATCGTTGTCGGTGGCCCGTCCCCAGGGCCGATCGAAGTAGAAGGGCTTGCAGCGCTCGCACTCGGGTCCGGCGGTGTTGTGCTTGCAGGCGCAGGTCATGGCCAGCTTGGCGCTCAGCTGCAGGCCGGACGGAGTGCGTCCGAAGTGGCTGTGCAGGGACGTGGGAATATTGTCGTCGTCCTGGCCATCGTCAGCGTCGGCATGCAGGGCGCTGCTCGACCCACTGCTGGTGGCAATGCACTCGGAGGCGTGGCCATTGCACTTGCAGCGACCGCCCACAGCGAAATCGGAGACGGCGTAATGCTGCGACACAGACAGCATCTGTTGCATGGCAGCGGCACCAGCGACTCCAGAGGCCGATGTTGTGGATGTTGACGACTTGGTTGGGGGCGTGGTCTTGGCCGATGCTGGCATCGGAGTGCTGACCGACAATTTGCCCTGGAAGTGCTTCTCGTAGAGGCTGCTCTTGTGCTTGGACTGGCGCTTGCTCTCGCCATCGTTGGCATAGTCCAGATGCAGTTCGTCGTCGAGCTCGAGATGCTTCTTGGGCTCTTCGTACTCCTCCTGATCGTAGCCGGCACTGTCGTTGTCATGCAGATTGTAATCGTACTCGTCCTGCTCATCCAGCTCATGGCCATCCAGCTCGTCCTCCTGGCTGGCGGTCATCTCGTCACTGAAGCTGTTCGCATTGCCCTTGGCCCGTTCGCGGCTTAGCAGCAGCTGCGGCGGGAGCTCCAGGCGATGGAAGACCACACGTATATCGGTAGCCGTTACCCAATCCTGCAGCACCAGCGACGAGTCCAAGTCGTTGGCCGACGGACGACCCTCCAGGGTGTTGAAGGCGAAACGCTGTGCGGCCCCACCGCTGGCTGCATCGTGCTGCGAGTTCATGCAGCGCGCCTCCTGCTCATTGAACTTGCTGATCTTAGCGCGATCCGCACGTCCGTAAAACTTCTGGCACTGCGAGCTGTAGAACTGGAAGGGCTGCCAGGTCTGGCCAAAGTCGGAGCTCTTGTAGATGGCCAAGGAGTCGGGGCGCGGCGATTTGGGGCAGAACGACAGCGAAATGTAGGTGAGCTCGTATTTCTTGCCCAGCGACAGGGTCAGGGTGACATTGTCCGGCGGCGCCGTGTCCGGATCGTGGGGCACATTGACGCTGCCCGAACGCCAGCAGGTCACGTTGCTCGGATTGTTGAGGTCTGTCAGGGCGGCAGGACCATAGCGATGCTCGGACTTGTCGCAGACGCGGCACTCGCCCGCGCTGCCGTCGCGCTGCAGCTCACAGAAGCGCTCCGGCTGCTGGGCGCCGCAGACGCTGGACGCCTGCACCGGATTGCCGTAGGCGGCGTTCACAAAGCTCGGCAGGCACTTGCGCGGCTTGCCCTCGAAGTAGCATGGATCGTTGGCGTTGATGCTGACGCCGGCGGCGGCATGGGCCAGGCAGGCGAGCAGCGCGGCCAATTGCAGCAACAACAACATCTTGAGGTCTTTAGCTAAACCAATTGCAGATTCCAATGCTCCCTCTCTCTCTTTTGCTCACTTTATATATATTTCTCTTTAACTCTCTTACTCACTGGTTCACTCTTCTTTGGCTGTTGCACACTCTTTGTTGTTGTAATCTTCTTGCAGTGTATGTGTCTCTGTCACTCGCGAGGATCAATGGGCGAACGTGGTAAGCACAAAACAAAAAAACAACAAAAACACGCAAAGACACGCAGCACGCGGCACGCGGACGCTGAGCGGCGGCGTCACTGAGTCTGGCACGGCGGCCGCATGCAACAGCTGCCGCTCCGATTTACGATTTCAATTTCGGTTTCAGTTGCCACTGTCTGCTGCTTGATTCCCACTCACATACACAAACACACTCCCTCTCTCTCTCTCTTGCTCTCTCACTGTATCTGTATCTCTTTCTGGCACTTGTTCAGCTATGGCTTTCAGCAGCGTTCCTCTGCTGAGGGAAGAGACCGATGCGATTGCGATGCAACTCGGTCAACGGCCAGCGTTGTTCTGTTTTGTTCACGTCCTCGTCGCGTATCCTGCAGGCGAGGCGACAAACAGACGACAACAAGCCAAATGATTTGTTGCTCGTGTTGAGTTTCGTCTGCTGCTTCAGCTTCTGCTTCAGCTTCAGCTTCGCTTCGTTTCGTTTCGTTATTTGGTCTCGGCCAATTTCACCACTGCATGTTGCGGAGGCTGTTGCGGCTGCTGCTGCTGCTGCTGGCCGCAAAATGTTGCTACACCAATAGCGAAACCAAAACAAAAAAAAAATACCAACAAAATTTATACGACACACATACGCGCGTGGGCTGAGCGCCAAGGCACGAGCACTGCCACTGCCACTGCCAAAACAACAACACGACGACAAATACACAGACAATAAACACGACTCGAGTTCGTTCGCTCTTCGTTCGCCTTGCGTCGGCTTCGTTGTTCACCTGGCAAACGTTTGTCCGTTACTGAACGTTCGCAGCATCTCGGGCCGTTCGCTTGCCGGCTGCTGTTGCTGTTGCTGTTGCTGCTGCTGCTGCTGCTGCTGCTGATGTTGCTGCTCGCTCGTTGTGGGCCGCAACACGCGCGCTCTCTTTGTCACCCTCTCGCTCGCACTCACTCTCTCTCCGGCTTAGTTTAATGTTGGCGTTGCTTTCATGCGTGCACAGTGAATCTTATTAGAACTTTCGTTTCTTTAATTGAAATGATTTAATGCATGTTATAAAAAATATTTTTATTTATGAATGAACACTGATATTAAGACAAGACAAAATGGCTTACAAAAAAAAATATGCGTCATTATTATATGACAATATTAAAACAAATAAATATAAACATTACAAATATTTATGCATACATGTTTTTCAAGTTCTATTAATATCAATATAAATGTCAATATGAAACATGCAAAATATGCATTTTACAATGTTTCACTCTTAAAATAATAATTTGTTTACACATACATATATTCGTATATACATGTATATTCTCAATATTATTCGTATATACATGTATATTCTCAATATTATTATAAACAACATTTACCCAAAGCTTAACATCAATAATTTCTATATATGTAGTAAAACTCAGCTCTCAAGAATTTTATATTTATATCCAAATTCCTACTAATTTTTTTATTATATGAATATCAATATAAATATCTGTGTATACATAGATGCATGGAAAATTATTACAAAAATTATTTTGTTACAGATATGTAAATTTAAATATTGCATTCTTGATATAATGATTGCGGCCATTGATAAATGGATATATGGCGATTTCTTCAGAAAGTTATTTTATTATTTATTCAGCTCTTTTATTTTGGTAGCTGCGAAGGCTTTGGTTCTTTGTAATTAGCTTGAAGCGCACCTATTTCAATGTTAGTCAAAAGGTATTCAAATTGTAATTATTCAAAAATAAAACATTCTTTTGGAATATATTAAGCACTAGATTGGGAGCTAGATTAAAAATAAACAAAAACTTGGCAGTTCTGGAGAAATACCCATATCAATTCTTTTCTGTACTTGCGTTACTATACATAAAAAAAAAAAAAACAAGTCGTTACGTCATATATATAATATTTTAATATTAATTTTTCACTGCACATCGTTAGAAGATCATTATCATGTAACAATTTGCTCTGTTGTTTCCGTATTTTCAACCACTGTGCGCCATGTGGATGTAGGTTTTTGTGGATGCTGCTGCTGCTGCTGCTTAGCAACATTTGCCAGCAACATGCTGCCAGCAACATTTGCTGTTGCTTTGGTTTTCGTTGGCAGCTTGCCTAAATTTGAGCTCCAAGCAATTTGAATTTGTTGAGTGTGAGTGTGACACAGGAAATCTTTGTGAAATCTTTGGCTCATAAGTGAATGCAATTACATAGGTGTATGTCTCTCTCTGTGTGTGTGTGTGTGTGTGTGTGTGTGTGTTTAGTTGCCTGTGTATAGGGCTAGTCGATTTATGCGCTCGTCTTTGCCTTAACCCCAATTCACGCAGCGCTTTCAAAACTTCCGCTGTCACGAATTCAATTCAATTCAATTCAATTTCGTTCACAATGCAAAACGCCGACAAATATGCCGCGTCAGACGCAGACGCCGCGACGCCGCGACGCCTGCGCAGCAGCAGCAACAATTTCTGTATTGCCTTCGTTAATGCCGCCAGCAAGCCAAAAGGCATGCTCCACTTGGAACTCGCCTGCCAGCTCCCTGACCCACACACACACACACGCACACACATGCACACGGGCTGCCCTTTTTTATTTTCTTTGTTGCTCTTTGTCTCTGTAGTGTCATCTGCAATTTGTAAGGCCGCATTACGAAGTCCCTACCTGCCCTGCCCTGCCCTGCCCTGACCCTCCTCCTCGCCCACAGTTGACGCACCGCCTCGTACGCATTTATTTATCGCTTGTTACCTTTGGGGCGCAGACCCAAAAGCTGGGAACGTGCCCAAGCTGCGTCGGCCGTCGAGATGCTTCCGTTTCGCTGAGCGGCTGGCAAACGCACCAGCCGCTGCCACCCCTCACCCACGCTCCCTCCCTTCCTCTCCCATTCTCTCTCTCTCCCACTCTTTTTTTTTTGGCTGCCTTTTGATTTATTGTTTTTGACATTTTGTGTGCTTATTTCTCGGTTTCAGTTGCGTTTCAAGTGGTTCCCAACAATTCGACTCGTTATGTTTTATTTATAACGGATTTGTAGCTGCCTGCGTTTCGCTTTGTCTTGGCTTTTTGTTTATAAATATTTATACGCCCTGGCCATGGCCATGGCCCTAACTGCGTGTGTGTAAGCTGGAAAAAGCAGTTAGCGGTAAACTCGGTGAAGCGACCAGCTACAGCTGTCAGGGCACATCAGCGTCCTCCGGCCCAAATATGATGCCCATTCGACCTGGCCCACCGACTGCTTGGGCTGGGTTCGCCATGGAATTTCAGCGGAATCCAGTTCATATCTGGTTGGGCTATAGCTGAAGCTTTCAGTTTCAGTTTCACTCGCCTTAACTTCACTTTATCAGCTGGCCGAAATGGCTTGCCTTTGGCTTCCACTCTAACGTGCCACATGCCACTTGCCACTTGCCACTTGCAACGGGAGCGAGTCGTTGCCAAAACGTCTAATTATGACGCCAGCCAGGCAGCCTCGATGCGGCCGCTGCAATTTGCTGCCACCCCAGCTGTGGGGCATTGTGGCGGTGGGCGTGGCTCTGCCACTTGACGGACTGATGATTGGGGCTTGTTGATATTCGCGGTCAAAGCCAACGCAACCACCGCACCAGCTGCAACTTAAGTGAAATTCACTATTTCTCGCTTGGGGGCGTGGTCGGCATTTTGAGCCATTTGAAATCTACAAAATAAAAATGTAGCAAAAGAGTGCAGCTAACTGTACACTGGGTACGCCAGCCCCATTAAAAGTAATACGACGAACGCCTCTCCATGCGATTCTCATGGGCCAGAAACAATTTTGCGCTTAAGTAAGCCATAGAAAATTTGAGTGTGGCCAAACATGAAAAGGTTTTGAGTTAAGAGCACTCAAATTTCCTTAAATAAATATTTAAAATAAAAATTTTAATAATTGGCCACAAAAAAATATTATAATAAATTAAAAAAAAAAGACAAATATATTTATTTTCAATTATTTAAATAAATAAATGTAAAAAAAATTAGAATAAAACCAGTCCATTTATTTTTAATTATTTAAATATATGTACAAAATATATAAAATAAATGTAAACTGAAAATAATAAAAATAAAAAAATATATGCTATACTTTTTTTTTAAATAAATGTACAAAAACATACAATAAATATACACACAAAATAATTAAAATAAAATTGAAATAAGAAACGTCAATTTATTTATAATTTTTTAAATAAATGTACATAAATATATAAAATTAATGTACACAAAAATAATTGAAATAATATGAAAATAAGACAAGCTAATTTATTTTAAAATTTTCAAATTAATTAATAAAGAAAAAGAATAATTTAATGGAAATAAGACCGTCATTGAAATGTTGCTTCAACAATTTCTTACTAATTTAGGATTGCCCCAATTAGCTGTTCTGATTCATGTTGGACTCTCACATCTATGCATTTTAATTTGAGCCAAGATTTTAGTATAAAAAGCAGAGTAGAGTCTTCTAGAACAAAAAGAAGAATTAGAAATGAGGCATTCATATGAGCCAAGAGCAAAGAATTGCAGAAGAAGTAAGAGTTATCCCCTGAACATCCTTCTTCAAGCACTCAACGCTCCTCTTATGCATACAGTAGAAAAATAGAATTCTATAATATATATAATAACTTTCTTTTTTGCAAATATACATGTTCTTTATGGGTTCTGCCACTCCTCCTTCTCTCTGTTGTTTATATTTGTATTGAAAATTTTATATCTTATATATATATATTTTTTTTTAAATATATTTTTACCATAGACCACACACAACAGAGTGCGTTTAAGTTTCAGTTCATACCAAGAACACAAAATGGAATTCCATAAACGAATAGAAATCCATCTCCAAAGTAAAAGGGTTATTCAACTTCTTCTTCAACTTAAAAAAAAAATAAAAGAAAGAACTGAGTTCTAGACATTTTGTGAATTGATAAAGACGATACTAATTTATGACAGTTTAAATTTCCGGGCGACTACTGTGAGAAGCGAGCGAGAAAGTCGAATGTAATTGTAGGCGCTGCATTTGGATGCACTCAGGGAGAGAGAGAGGGAGAGAGAGAGAGAGAGAGAGAGAGAGAGAGAGAGAGAGAACTCGAGTAGATCTACACATACATATGTGTAGCCCATCCAGCACCGGTCTCTCCCTCGTTCCGCTTGCCGGCCATGTCAAGTGGGTGAGGTAGCGGCAGCATCATCATGCTCATCATTGACGCTGCATCTCAAGTGCATCAGCATCATCAACATCATCGACGAGACTATCGGAAAATCACGTAATGGGCACGTAGGCCAAATATTTACTTAAGACCAAAGCGGGCAACGCTGCGTGAAGGCAAATATGGCGAGGCGAGGGCTGGGGCGCGGCTCTAAGGGTGAGGCGGTGGCAAGAGTAAGCTGTATTAATGCTGTGGTGGCAAACCAATTGACTTGACAAGCGACGAGGAGCAGGATTGAGCATCTGAGAAATAGGAGTGGGAGCTGCAAGCGAAAGCGAGAGCCAAAGGCAATGGGGCGACAACTTCCTGCTGCAATTGTTTGACTTAATTGCCGCAGCGACTGCAACTGCAACTGCTGCTGCTGCTGCTGCTGCAACTGCAACTCGACTGTAAACAGTAGTCGACATTGACTTTGACTTTCGGCAGGCATACACAAACACAGGGACTCAGGTTTGTGGCTTCAGTTTTGGTCGCCTGTCGATTTTCGTTTGATTTTTGTTGCAATGCACCCCGCGGAGTTTCATGTTGTTGTTGTTGTTGTTGTTGGGATAGGTATCAGACAGAAGCAGCAGCAGCAGCAGCAGCATCACAGGAAC